TCTTTATAGAATTAGAAAAATAAAAATTTATTTTCGCGACCGGTCAACCGGCCGAGTTCTCAAAAGAAATACAAAAATAAAGAAAACAAACTATCCGTTCGCGAAGCGAACCTAAAATATATTTATTATTTTATCTTTGCCTCGGGTCAGGCCTTGTCGTCGCCGCACGTGTCCTTAACGATGGTCTCTGTAAAAAGAATAGCAAACACCGAAACGATGTATCAAGGGGCGCGGTAGCGGCCCGAAGGCAAGTTTGAGGCCCGCTGTCCCAGAACTAGTGTTAGGCCTTGAAATGGGGTGGAGCCATGGTGATTTGAAACAACTTTTTCCTTTGCAAAAAAGTTGTCCGAGGCGTGGTTGACGAGTTATTAACTGTAAGTATGTCGATAAGACAAGCTTTATTCTCTCATTACTTTACACGTACGATTCTAAGACCGTTTTTAATTTTTACAGAAGCATATCCAGAGGATCCAGTGTTAGGAAGAAGGAATAATGATTCAACACTTTTAAGTACGTCGATAACACAGCCTTTATTCTTTCAGTACTCTCTCATTATAATTATAAAACCGTTTTTAATTTTTGCGGGACCATATGCAGAGGATTCAGTGCCGGGATGGAGAAATACTGAATCAACACCGTTAAGTATGTTAATAATACAATCTTTATTCCCTCACTACTTTGCACTTACAATTTTAAGGCCTATTTTAATTCTTACAGGAGCATATGTAGAGGATTCTGTGTCGGGAAGGAGCAATAATGAATCAACATCTGTAAGTACGTCGATAATACAAGCTTTATTCTCTCATTGCTTGACACTTACAATTTTAAAACTGTTTTTAATTTACACGTACGTAATTATACGTAATTTAATTAAACACGTACAATTCTAAGACCGTTTTTCATTTTTGAAGAAGCATATCCAGAAGATCTAGTGTTGGGAAGGAGGAATAATAAATCAATACGCGCGTGGTGCCTAAATTGGGTGGAATTAATGTACTATCGAAAGCAGAGAAGTTGATATTACAAAGGGAAGGAGACGTAGAATACATGGAGCAATTTGAAACAGTGATAGAAGATCCTGCAGCTGATTCGTGATGATCCTGATGATCAATTAAATTGTGTTTCGGTTTCACAAGAGAACTGATTAAAATTCTTATTTTACAAAATACTGTTCCTATTTGTATTACCTTATACCTAGCCTTCTTTTCTTACTTTTAATGGAAGATGAGACGAATGAGCATGTTCAAAATCCGGGAGGATCACACTGGGGGCAGCACTTGTGGGCTCAAACAGAGCTGTTTTCCCCTTCCGCTTTTGGGAGCCCTACCCCTCGACTATGCACCGTCCTTTAGGTCCATGCTCTAAACATCCATGGANATCGTACGTTGAGCCCCATTGAGCCCCATTCGGTGTCCCAACGATAACACGGGGGCTGCCACTCTTTATAAGTATCTCCTCGGTGAGCAACATCTACGTAAATGACATACCATCTAGATTTAATTGCACCCTAGCATTATATGTGGAAGACACCGCACTGCTGACATCGTCTACTAAATTATGGGCCGCCTATGCTAGAATGCAAGATTATATCCAGGCAATCAATGACTTTTTCACTAAATGGAAGTTATCCCTAAATGCAGACAAGGCCGAGGCAAACGTCTTTACCAGGAAGCGCAACAAACCGACTAGCCTGCTCGAGGTCCGGGGTGTCTCGATAGAATGGTCGAACCAGGTCATATATCGTGGAGTAGTCCTGGATTCCAGACTTACCTAGATCTCGGCTTTTTATTTGCTATTTAACAATAACTTTTCGCGTATTTTATGCTCCCCTATACCAAACGTATGGGAAGACATAGCCTGATTGATACGGCGTTGGAAAAAATTGAAAACGCGAGAGTTATATGCGCAGGCTTGGGTCACTTCGCGTGATCCTTCATGCGACGAATCAGAGACACCGATTCTTCGATCGGGATCCTTAATTAATCCATCGCGATCGGTGCGTTTCGGCAATTCGAGTTTGATTCTCATGCTGATCAATCGCCGTAACTTTCGCTCTCCTTAAGGGAAATCGTGAGTGTATGCGCTTTGTTGCGCTTTTTTCTGTGAAATTGGAGAATGTTGCGAGGCTAGGTCTGCCGATCCAGCGGCGGCCGTAACCTCCGAACTTGGTGAACGTTGCGTGGCTAGGTCCTCCGATCTTGCGAGGACTGCATCCTCCAACTTGACTTCGCGCCATGTCTTTCGTTATAAGGTAAGAGCTTTCCGACACGAATGATCATTCGACTGCGTGCGATTTAGTCCATTTTCCGTAGCAGTAAAGTTCGTATATTTAATAATCTCTATTATAACTTCAGTTACCATTTCAATAAATAGTCCTTGAGTCATCTCCCTTTCCCGGGCTTTTCCCTCTTCCTCCGTGAGGGTTTTTATGCCTGAGCAAGGAATGGTCTCTACATTGACTCATAATAACACTATGTTCTTTATTTCCCAGAATCCCGACTACTCATCCCTTTTTCCCTCTCACAGCTAAACTGTTTTTAAAATTTTCAACAACATCAGGCAAATTAGTAATGGTATTTTCCATACGCTTAATGTTGTTAATCCGCGTTATAAATACNTTACAGGTCTTGATTCATAATTGCTCCTTCCCATAATTGAATCCTCTGTATATGCTCCTGTAAAAATTAAAAACGGTTTTACAATTGTACGTGTAAAGCAGTGAGAGAATAAACTACGTCTATTTACGATATACCTTTATGTTGTACATTCACATTTTCATTCTGCATTTCTTTTGGAAACTGTTCAGTACATAATCCTTTCAAAGTAAGCCCTTTGGTAAGTAACCTAGCGATTATCTTTCGATTTCTTCTCTATGTGCTCTTCCATTTATATATATGTTCCTAAAAATATAATGTAACACGTCATGTTATGCATCTCACAATTATTGTTTTGAATACTCATTACTTTATTACGATTGTCTCATAAAATATCATGACGGCTCTGACAATTCACATATTCAACATGCATGTTTCGGGCGAATCAGAGGAATAAGCATGTTCAAAATCAGGCGGGACCGCACTGAGGGCACCACTTGTGGGCTCAAACAGAGCTGTTTTCCCCTTCCGCTTTTGGGAGCCCACCCCTCGCCCATAATCCCACTTTAGGCACCGTCCTTTAAGTCCATGTAAACATCACTGCTGCCCATGTGTTTTATCTTCAAGTACAGCTAGTAACAACAAAATTGAGCCAGCTACGTGCATGTGTTAGTTTCCCCTAGCGGGACAAAATTCAAAACGAGTAATAAGTCTACATCTTAGTTTTTCGATGCTTGATCGGACATCGATACTGTTGGATTTTATTATAATTTTGACGCTTCAAAATAAAAAGGATTTTAATGTGCGTGGTGGTAATGTGCGTACGTTAACATTATTTTTATTTTTACGCGTCAAAATTATGTTAAAATCCAATAATATCGATGCGAGATCGAGCATTGAAAAAATAAGACGTAGACTTATTACTCGTTTTGAATTTTGTCCCATAGGGGAAACTAACACATGCACATAGCTGGCTCAGTTTCACTGTTACTAGCTGTACCGGGGTTCGGCACATTGACCCAATAATGTTCTTCTACGAGCATGTGCACTGACCAACGAAGAAGTAAGTTCAACTTGGATTCTTTTCACATTTTTCATAATTTTACCTATCCTGTAATTTGTAAAATTGTTTGTTATTTCATTGAGTATGTTACATTCATTGAGCGAACGTAACTAACGACTAATTGCTTTGTTTTCTGTAATATTTAAACAATTTTTTAGTTGCTCTTGCATGTAAGTTTTGTTTTAATCCTATGTTTTCGTCACGAGCGTGGCATACGGACCGCGGCAAAGCACAGGGCAGTTATCGCGCTCCTGCCCGCCTTGTATACGAACGCTCTGGTTGGTCGGTAATTTTTGTTAATAACTCGACAACCACGCCTCGGACAACTTTTTTGCAAAGGAAAAAGTTGTTTAAAATCTCACCATGACTCCTCCCCATTTCAAGACCTAACACTAGTTCTGGGACACCCTGTATAAATACTTGTTCAGTGTAGGAAAACTATTTAGAAAAACCTACTTACGAAAGTTCTCTAAGCTAATCTAGTTCTTAGTGTCTAATCTTTGTACGTGTTAAATATGAGTCGTTAGGAGATAGCCTAACGGGAGTCCGGAGTGCGAGGAGAAGCGGGGTACGCAGAAATAATGACACTG